TGCCGCCCACAAGTTTGAATTATTTTTTTCTATTTAAAATGAAAGCTGGAAAGTTACAATATAGAAGTGAAAAAAGTGGAAATTACGGAGTATTCAATATATTTTTTAAAATGAATGAAAAAATTATTTTACAAAAACTATGAAAAAAAAATTGAAATACGAAAATAGCACTTTAATAGCCTTATAATACTCAAAATAGCAGTGCTATTATTTTTTGGGATGAATTCCCGTTTTTGTCCTTAAATAAACTTCCAAAATTAGAATTATACTGCAATGTATACTCTTCATTGCCACATTATAAATAAGTATGAAATTCTATGCTCTTCACTGCCACAATATGTTTGAGATTGAATTTAGTGCCCTAACACATACAACAATGCCAAAAAAAGAGCAGAATTCATTTTAAGCCGTGACCTTTTATTTTTTATGGTAATTATACACTGCAATATATACTCTCTACACTGCCACAATATGTACTTCCAAAACTTCAATGTCTGAAATACACTGCCACAATATATACACTGCCAAAAATTCAATGTCTGAAATACACTGCCACAATATATACACTGTCACAATATATCTAGCTACACTGCCATAAAACACAATAATTAAAACTAAAAATACAGCGAGATCCGAATAAAAGGATGCAAGACAAAATTTTAACATTTAATCTTCACACTGCCCACACCATAACACCTAATCTTCACACTGCCAAAATCACAATGCCTTTCAAAAGACCTAATTTTTCAAAAGGGACAAATACTTGGTATTTCAAAATTGATTTCACAACATACACCTAATCTTCAATACGAAGAAAACACAATAATTAATACTAAAAATACAGGGAAATCTGAATAAAAGGATGAAGGAATGAAAATTAAAAATTGAAGGAGAAGAGAAAATGATTAGCGACATCAAAGATTAGCATGGGAGAGAACCTGATGATTGCCGCTGCTGATCGGCCAAGGAATCGTGGGCGAAGGACTGAGGACGCATCATCGCCGGCGAACGGAAGGAGAGACCGCGGAGTTCAATAGCGTGCGGGAGAACGGAAGGAGAGATTGGAGTTGAATGCCGTAATTTTTAATGAAAAAAAAAGAAAAAGGGGTAAAGGGTATATCGGAAAGGATTGACACCATAAATTGCTAAATTTGTTAAAAACAATGAGTAATGCTAAATACGTAATTTAGGGTGAGTTAGAGTGCTATTTTAAAAATGATTTTAGAACAAATACAATAATTAATTATGGTAATACTTTCTCCTCCCAGCTAAATTTTGTACTCCTTCTGTCCTAATTTAAGTTGTATGTTTACAATTCAAAGAGTTACACTTTAATCACGTTTATTACCAATTTTTGTTACTAATTTGATAATAAATAAAACAATATAGTCTTATCATTTCCTCTTGTTTTGTACTCCGCACTTATAACATTCGATTTAGTTTTTAATTATCTATATTTAATTTTTAAATTCCAGGTCAATTTTTCAAATAAATTTAATTGAAAATAATTTTAGTCAAACCTAATAAACAAGAACACTCAATTTAAATTGAGACGGAGAAAGGGAGTAGTATGTTATATGTACTATTTATAGGTTAAACTAAAGGTTCTTTTAATTTGTTGCATCTTTTTATCTGTTATTTGATAAAATAATACTTCCTCCTTCTCACAAAGATATTCATTTTTTATTTTTTCACAAATCCTACAAAAAGTAACTAACATCCAATTAAAAAAATTAAAAAACGTTCTAAAAAAGATATTCATTTTTTATTTTTTCACAAATCCTACAAAAAGTAACTAACATCCAATTAAAAAATTAAAAAACGAAAATAAATCTGACAAAAGTTAAAATAAGAACCATTTTATCCCACGAAAGTATCTTTGATTGCACATTTTTACCTAGTAATATATTCCCGTACATTCCATAGTACCGCAGTACCTATCAATGAATCTAATGAAGAAAAAAAATACGGAGTATTATTTATTTACAAAATTTGGTTTCTGGTACATGTGAAAATTCACACTACAACTGCTGACAGAAGAGATACGATGTTGGATTTTCATCAAAAAAAGAAAGAAAAAAAAATGTTAATTATCATATTTTCGCCCTAATTTTTTGCGAAACCCATTAAATACTTTTACTTTTATCTAAAATTTCTAAAATACATTTCATTATGTAATTTATTATGGTAGAAGTTATTTTTAGAGGTATTTTATGTTAGAGTGCATTCTATACCGGAACGGAAGCTCAAAAGTAAAATAATCGGTATATATAATGGCACTGGAAATACCCATGAAGCCTCGGGGCTTCAAACCGAGGCTTCAAACCTTCTCTCTCTGCCACGTCAGCTTTAACTTAACTCACAGTTTCAGTTGAAATGGGTTTGAAGCCTCGGGGCTTCAAACCTTCATTTTTTACAGTTTAAATTCACATCTTCTAAAATTAAATTAATAAAACTTAAATATTTAATTATTTAAAAGAATTGAAACAAGAATAGTTCATTAAATAATAAAATTACATTCATTAAATAAAAAAATTACATTCATGAAAAAATAAAAAAATACTTGAATAATAATCATTTTAAGAGATGATAGATAGAGAGAAATTTGTATTTGTGTTGAATTTAAAAAAAATTAATTTAATTTATAGAGAAGAAAAGAGGAAAAAAGAGGGAGAAAAAAGAAGGAAGAAGGCCTTATCACGCCTTCAACTCGAGTAAAAAATTTGACGCATGAGTTTTAACGCCCGGGGGAGGGGGGCGGTGTTTCACGCCCCCCAGGCGTCAAAACTCTCCTAACGCCCCTTGGCGTTACCGGTGTTTCCACTGCTCTAAGCTCCTGAGTTGAACTAACTAATCGATTGGATTCAATCTTTTAATGTAGCTCAGTCCAAGTGTCTTATGGCCGGATCCATTCTAAATTTTATCATGTTAGAGTGCATCCCACATCGGAAGTCCAAGAGTAAAATAATTGGTATATAAGCTCTTGAGTTGAACTAACTAATTGATTGGATTCAATCTTTTAATGTGGTTTAGCTCAAGTGTCATATTACCCAATCCAATTATCCACACTCAATCCTAAATTTATCATTTTAGATATTTTAGGTAGAGGAAAAAATATTTTATTGGGTGTACAAAAAATTAGAACGTGTTTTTAAGAACTAGAAACTGAATTTATTATGGGGAGTACTAGAAACTGAATTTATTATGTTACACGGTTATCGATACTATGGAGAAACATAAAAACATGGTCCGGTGATATTAACGTTGATTTTAATAGGAAAAAGAGATAAGGTCTTCATTTTCTCAACCATATTATGTTGAAGTTTTATGCATGCTATGCATGACTCATCCCTTCATGTGAAGTACCCAGTACCTTCCTTAACATGCATGTAATTTAATTGTTGATCATATTCCACTTTCTTAGAAACCATCTGAGTAAATTCTATAATTGATCCTTTATAATAGGGGATTTCCCTATTTAGTCCTCTATTATCAAATATTACCCCTGAGATCCTTTTTTTATGGGTACCTTTCCACAAATCGTCCTTTTTTTGATTTTTTATCATGTTGGTGTTAATTTGAGGGCTAAAAGTGTAATTTCTCAATGATAATATATCTTTTTTGTCATACACAATTCCATAGGCTATTCCATTTGCGTCGTTTGTGAATTAAAGCCGTTTTTTATGACAACTATAGTCTACAAATGTGATCTTTCATTAGAATCCTAGCTCACAATCATAGTCATTATTTTAGAACACGTCACTGGACATAATGTTGATGTCAAATTATACTTTTAGCCTTTAAATTAACACCAACACGGCAGAAAATCAAAAAAAGGACTATTTGTGGAAAGGTACCCTTAAAAAAAGGACTACGGAGGTAATATTTGATCATAGAAGACTAAATATGGAAATCCCCCTATTATAAAGGACCAATTATGGAATTTACTCGTTGTCTGGATTTAATGTTCTAATCTGACTTTTATTTGTGGAATTTTGTAAACTTTGATCTTGATATACGGAAAAAACGAAATGCGTTTTTGATAGAAATAATGTAATACGGAGTATCAAGGAATAGTTTTCTTTGCCACTGGTTTTTTAAAATATTTCTAGTACTTCATTCACAAAATTGATGGTTTCTACCACATTTATTTCAAGTATCTCATAACATTAATATTTTAAATTTCAAGATTAATTTTTTTTTTCAGATTTAAAAATTTATATCAGATCAACTATTTGCAACTAATGAGATCGACCTAACCTTAATCTTTATATGGATGGAAGCATATGAATTTGTGAATATATTTAATTACTAGATTAAGGTACACCTTCTTTGTCTATCAACTAAAGGATAATTTACTTAAATAGTATTAAAACATAGTGCATTTTTTCAATATAGTACCATATGTTTTTATTTTTCAATGAAGTACTACTGTTCAATGTCCACTGATCATTGTTCAAGTAAATGTCACATTTTTCAAACTAAATGTCCAGCATTAGTGGACATTATTCCCGTCACCAGACATTACTCAAATACACTCTCCGTCCCAAAAAGATTTACACCTTTTAAAAAAATTGCGTCCCACAATCTCCTACCCATTTCTATTAAAAAACCACTTTTACCCCTTACTTTTTCAAATCCTACCTATCACATCATACTTTTTTTCTAATAATCTTCACATCACATCCTACTTTTACCCATCACATCAAGAGTATATTTGGAAAGTCAACACAAATTTATCCCTCCCTTAATTTCAATTTTAGTCAAAATGTGTAAATCTTTTTGGGACGAAGATAGTAATATTTAGGGAATACAAAAGTTTAAGTACTACATTGAAAAATGACACATATTTAGATACTATTTCGTGCAGATTTTCAACTAAAACTATGTGTTTGATATGAATTATGGAGCAATAATTTCAATTGATTTTGTACCAAATAAATACGTACTCTAGTCTAATAAATCAAAATATGAAAATAAGCCAAAAATAATTGGAATGACAAACGGGTAATCATATATTTCTCCATACAAGTATATACTACTGTGTATTTGAAAAAAAACCAACTAAAACATTGATTTAAAAAAAGAGGAAATAAATAATAAAAAAAAGATTACAAACAAGTGGTGACTAAGGACTAAACAAGACAAGACATTTTTGTAACAAATTATATGGTCCGTTTTTGTTTCTCTTTCTTTTCTCCGAAAATTCCCGTTCCCCCCTCCACTTTTCTCTAAATTACATTTCCGCACTAGACCCGCAAGTTTCGCGAACTCCGTCTGGACCGGACGTTTACCGTCAGCGGGTTGACCATTTCGCACGAGAGCTTCAGGACCTCCGTCAGGTCAACGTTACCCGCCGCCGTGAACTCGAACTCCCGCAGCAGGGCGGCGACCCAGAAGGAGACGGTGGTCAGCGCCAAGTTTTTCCCCGGGCAGGTCCTCCGACCCGACCCGAACGGAGCCAGCCTCATGTCGGATCCCATGACGGAGAAGTCCATCGGCGTCCCGCCGCCGAGGAATCTCTCCGGGCGGAACTCGAGTGGGTCCTCCCAGACTTCCGGGTCCCGCGATATGGCCCACATGTTCACCATGGCGGTGGTACCCGCCGGCACGTGGTACCCGCCGATTTCGGTGTCCGTTATCGCCAGACGGGCCCAGGAGAGCAGGGGACCGGGCGGGTGCAGCCGGAGCACCTCCTTGATCACCGCCGGGAGGTAGACCATTTTGGACACGTCCGACTCCGTGACCGCCGCCGCTCCGCCGCCCGTAATCCCGTCGATCTCGCCGTGGACGGCGGATTGAACCTCCGGGTGAAGCACGATCCGCGCCAAGATCCACTCAATCAACACCGCCACCGTGTCCGTCCCTCTAAATATCATTTCCTGCACCACAAAAATATTATTAGACGAAAAAATTCCCAAAAAAATCAATAAATGAATTTTAAACAAATAAGTACTCCATATATTTTTTTAAATTTATAATCCTCCTTATACATTGCAGTATTAAAATTAAAAATTAATCTTCCACCCTTTTAAGTAGTAAATTGGTACTCTCCAATGTCACATCTTGATATTTTATTGTGTTTTTTTGAAATTATATGTAAACACTACTTAATATTATTAGACTTATTTTGGAATAAATAGTCTTACTTGATATATGAAATACTGTCTCTCTCTGTTCATGATTATTTGTTCACTTTCAATTTTTTTAGTCAAAATTAATAAATTTAAACCTCAGAATTAAATAAAAATGATAATAATACATTTTGATACAAAAATAATTTTATTATATTTATTATATAAAATATTACTCCATATTTTATTCAAATAATATACTCCATACAAAATATATTTTACTTAATTATAAGTTAAAGATTAAAAATAGTTAATTAAAAAAGTCAAAATTAAATAAATAATACTCCGTAATTTTATTATTGTGAGAATATATGAAATGGTAAAAACTGTTGCTTTCACCTGAATTGGTTATCGAGAACAACTGCATTGGGAGCAGCAAGCTAAGGCTGCATTGACCCTATTCTATTTTGACCTTAATAATAATAATAATAATAATAATAATAATACTAAAAATAATAATAATAATAATAATAATATGGAGTAATAATTTTTTTATTATTGTTATTAACTTATTATTTTATCTTTCAATCTCTTTCGAATGTAATATTTTGATTATGAATATTTTAATTTATAAATAGATATATATTGTAAAAATGTAACATTTCAAAATTTATTTTTCAAAATTAACTTTTTGATATTAAATTTGTACAGCAATATAACGATTTCTTTTTGTGATTTCTAGTTTAAATTTTAAAAAATTAACTTTAAAAATCAAATTCTGAAGAATGAAAAGGGATGGAGGGATAATTAAATAGCTAGATACTTTTGTGTGTGTGTGTGTAAAAATAGATAGATATTTGTATTCCTTAAAAAGGCATGAAAAAGACATGTAAAAAAAGAAATTCGACTAAATTAGGAAACTTACCCAAAGAACGGCTATCATGTCGGAGTCGGCTAATTTCTCAGAGCCTTGGAGGGAGAGCAACACGTCCACAAAATCTCTGTGGGCCATCTTCTCCGATTCCGGCGTGGCGCGGTGGTCGGCGATTATCCCGCCGACGAACCGGTTCACCCGTGGCACCAGCCCCGAGCATCTCGCCCGGACCCTCTGCGGGTCCAGGTCGAGGAGGCAGGGGAGGTGGTCGGACCAGTTGAACGTGCCGAGGAGCTCGTACCCCTCGTCGACCAGCTCCCTGAGCTCCGTCATCTCGGGACAGCCACTGAGGCTGTAGTCCCGCCCGAAGACGGAGCTCATCATGTTGTTCAGGGACGCCCGTTTCAGGACGTCCCGAACGCGTACCCCTCTATCCCCAGGGGGACCTGATGAGAGCTCGGCGATCATTTGCCGAGTGATCTCGGACCTCTGGGACTCCGCCGCCCTAATCTGCTTCGGGCAGAACAGGTGCGTGGCGGCGATCTTCCTGAGCGTGCGCCAGTACACACCGTAAGGCGCGAACCCGATGGCGCGGTCGAACATCAACCGGTAAGCCGACTCCTTCACGGGCCGGTCGGCGAACGACGAGCTGTTCAGGATCTCCCTGGCCACCTCGGGGTTACACGTGACGACAGCTCGGGTCTCCCCGAGGCTGAAGGCCATGAGACGCTTCGCCCCGCAAGCTTCGGCCATCGCCGCGAGCTTGTGGTGAGCCAGGCCGACCATGAGAGTCATGCTACCGAAGACGGGAACCCCGTGGGGCCCCGGTATGGGGGAAAACCGAGTCGTGCGCCACTTCAGGCGGCGGCCCCAGGCGGGGCCCCCGGGGTGGGCCCAGTAGAAGACGCTCATGGCGAGGGTAGCGAGGAGGAGGAGGAGTGAGAAGCATATGAGGTTGGGAGAGGAGAGACATTTTGCTTGGGAAAGTAAGGCAAAAACCCAAAGGCTTTCTATGTGTGTTGTGGAGGACATTCTTGTGTTACTTAGAAGAGCTTAGAAGAAAGAATTTTGAGAGAGGGAGAGAGAGTGTAGAAAGATAGTGAGGTTTGTTTGGATGGGGGGAAAGAGGAAGGGGAAAAGATGGGGTTATATAGGAGTGGGGTGTGGGGGTGGGGTGGGGGAAAAAAAGCAATTATAAATAATTGGTGGGACATATTTAAACAAGATTATTTGTCTCCCATAATTTTATCGCATGTACGGTAGCATGAGAGTGTCTGAATTTGTACAGTACATTTTTTAAGGTGTAGAAACCTTAAAAAAGTTACGGAGTACTCTATAGTCTCTAGTGTGTCCCAACTCACGCATAGACCTATTATTCTAAAATATTTGTGACATTATATAAAATGAAATGAAATTTTAAGTTTTTAAATATTTTTAATTTGAACATTAATATAAAATAAAAAAGTTAAATTTTACTCCCTTCGTCCCGCTATATTCGTCCACTTTTGACTTTTGGAACTATTCATCTAATCACTTTGATTCATCAAATTCTCTCAATGTGTAAGCCTAAATATTGTCATGTGTGATCTTGTTTGATTTGTCTTAACATATAGATTATTAATAAATAATTTCTATAATTTTTTAATATACAAATTACAAGATAAAATTGATTAAAGAAGTGTTTTGGATGATGTGTAAAAATGAAAGTGGACAAATACTCTGGGACGGAAGTAGTATATATTTAAAAAAACAGAAGATGATAAGGATATTTGATTTATAAAATTTACGTAGTATATCTTTAGAAATTACGGTAAGAGTTTTTTAAAACAAAAGTTGATAAGGATATTTTATTTAATTTAATAATAATTGACGAAGATGTAAAGATAAATAAAAGATTTCGTAATTTATGAACGGTTCTGACATTTTTTTGACACGGAGGAAGTTCGTTATTTAAAATTAAAGATGTGTGAAATTCTACTTCCTCCATTCAAGAGATATCATTCTTGTTATTATCCGGGTCTCTCCACATTTATTATTAGTGTACTTTCATTGATTAAATAATGAAATTATATATTGTTGTCACATTTTGTTTTAAACTCGGTAGAACATTTGATTTATTTTTTAAATATATAATTTAAAAATTTAATTCTCATACTAACTTTTAAATAAAATTATTTTAAAGGGGATGGAATTTTGCACTTTGTTCGAATTGGGATGATATTTTTAGACGGTGTGAGGAATATAACATTTAAAATTAGTTTAATTTCAAATTAGTATATAAATAAAAAGTACAAATTACATATTTTAAAATTATAGTAAAAAATTTCAAAATAAGAAATAAAAATATTATTTCATTATATCAAATAATTAATAAAACCATGTAAACAAATAAATTTAGCGAGGGGTCGTAAGGGAACTTAGAATGGGACGGAATCTCTCTCCGTCCCAATCCCTGCCACATCATCATTTTTTTTGTTTTTCTACATCTTACCAAAACACCTGCAATGTTATCGCCCTCTGGCCACACCTCTCTATTTATTTTACATTATTCATTATTTTTAATTAAAAAATATGTAAATTTAATAAAAATATTTATCTATTAATAAAAATAGATAAATAATAATTAAAAACTAAAAAAATTATAACAATTAAAGTATAGAAATAAGCAAATAATATATTAATATCAATTGAAAGAATGTAAAATAATACATTTTTTAAAATTAAAAAATGTAAACTAATTAAAATTATTTTCATAAAAAATAAAATTCAAAATTGAATTGTAAAAAAACAAACAAATTAGAAAAAAAAAGAACGGCGCCGCCGCTGCCTTCTCGCCCCGCCGCATGTCGCGCCCTAACATGCGGCGCGGTATGTTTCTTTTCTTGGATTGCAAATGTTGTAATATAACAGTGCATATCATTTTGTAACATAACAGAGGAAGCAATGAATTTTTTTAAATAGACAATATGGAATAAAACTATATTTAATCCTTTTAAACTATATTTAATTCATGATCAAAGAATACTACAATTTGACTAGAAAGTTAAGTTGTAGCAATCTTTTATGGGCGGATGAAGTGTAAACAAAACAGACATTGCAGTAAAATAATTAAATGAAATGAAAAAAAATTAAAAATTAAAAAAGGAGCATAAGCACCGTGACCATGGCCACAGACCCTCCCACGCAAACGTCACGAAGTAGGGGGGAGGTATTCTAAGAAGTGATTACACCACCGTGACCTTCCACATAGGATCACGGGCGTGGTCTAAAGAATGAAATAAGTGGAGAGCGGTCCACAATAATTCTCTCTCTTTGTATTAGTGTCAATCAAATAATTTAATGTTCTCTTAAATTTCGTGAAAAAACAAACACAGATTTTAATTTGAGAGGGATAGAGTATGTATTGAATTGTTCATTCATGGTCCAAATGTGTACATATAAAACGTGGACTACCATATTGATTTTTTTCTATGTTTTAGTCATATTTAGAGTGATTTATATTGATATTTTTTCTATGTTTTAGTCATATTTAGAGTTATTTATATTATCATAACTTCTACTCTAACTTAAAAAGTTTAGAGCCTAAATTACTGAATAGCACATGGCCTTTTAAAATGATTGGACGGACATGGATCGGATCAGATAAGAATTTATTTTAACCAGATGAGAGCATAGCTTAACTTCAATAAATTAATTTTAAGTATCCCAAACTGCACTAAGATAATCTTTTAACTATCACAAACCACACCCATGATTTTTTTTAAATTACCCACGTATTTTTTTTGTAAGGGAGAAAATTTCGCCGGAGGGTACAAATAGCGTTGGGCGGTTTACAATTTGGAGTCAAAATGAGGGTGTGGGGGTGGGGGAGAGGGGAATTGAAGACAAGCACTGTTTGAAGGACTTTTTGAAAAAATAGTAAAAGGGCCATTTAACTTATGTCCAACGATATCATAAATAATTTAAAAGTATACATATTTAAAAAGTACATACAGAACATGATACTCCTTACGTCCACCTAAGATCTTCCCATTGCGTGTTGCGAGGCTTGACCGACTTTATTTTTAATTCAATTAATTTGAATATAGGGGTAAAATTTTAATATAAAATCTATGTAGTAATAATAAACTACATAAAAGATTCTACAAAACTAGAAGTGACAACACTATATTATTTTATGAAATGAGTAGTTAAAATAAACAAACAAAGTGAATTAAGTGTGACCCTATGAATAGTGTCTGGGAAGATCTATGGTGGACAGAGGGAGTATAATAATATAATGAAATTGATATTTGTAAAATAGTTAGAAACTGAAAGTTTTTTTTCTTTTTAAAAAACAAGCATTTGAACCCGAGTGGTGCACGGGGTTAAATGAAAATTGTTTACATTCCCCATTTTGTTTTAACTTATTTTTTTAAGGAGAAAGTAAAATATATTTTTTAATTTGATATATAATTATATGAAAATTGAAATAAAAAATTGAAGGAATGATATGACATCAAACATTTAGATTGGAGAATTTTATCATATAAATTGAGAATAAGCGTGACAAAAATCTTATTTAAATTCAATTTTTTGAAAAAGTTATTAGGATATTGAATATTTTTGGTGAAGTTGCAAAAGCTATACAATCATTTAAACTTAGGAGTATTTCTTTGTGCTGGTGCTTATTGCCGATAAAAGAATTTCAACTTATAAGCTGTTTATAAGTTAAATATTTTCGTAGGAGTAAATGACATAAATGATAGACACGTCATTTAGAAATATTCATAAATGGTAAAAAATAGTTTAATAAATGAAATATTTGCACTAAATAGCACTAAAACTTAAGTCATTTCTCTAAATAGCATTTAAATTGTTTTATTTCCTAAATAGCACTTAATAATGTCTATAATGACTAATGTATAATGACTAAATGTCAAACATTTACTTGAATAATTACTAATGGATAATGACTAAAAGTGCTACATTGGGGGAAAAAACACATGTTGTGCTATTTAGTGAAAGTCATTATGTTTTAGTGTTATTTACGTAAATTCATCTTAATAAATAATCTAGTTTAAGGGAGAAGCGAAAAAATGCAAGGAACCTCTTTTTTTTCTCAATTCATAAATGTAAGGAACTTCTTTTTTCACAATTAAACCATATTTCTTGTAAATAATCCTTTTTAATAATAATAAGTTACACTTACTTTTATGGCAAAGGTTAACTTTTGACATATAATTTCAATTAAAATTGTCTTGGGAAAAATACTCACTTTGTGATGGAACTTATTTCTACCGAATATATTTCTTACAGTTTCTCAAGAATTACAGAATAATAACAGAGACCTAATAATAAGACTCCATAATGTTATAAAAGACTTCTCCCCATGTTCGTATGCCTTGGGGGAGTATGTATAGCCTCCCGACCTTTCTAATCCAAGTAGACCTCTTTATAAAACTAGTTAAACCTCTCCCAAGTAATTAATCTGATAAGGTTAATTATCAGATTAATTAACGTATCTCACGGTCCAGGCGGGTCGACCCACCAATTGGTTCATGAGTTGCATTTGGGTCTAGGCTCCAATCGCTAAGATTAATGACTTGGATAAATATATTCTCACAATTAAGAATTATCTCATTAATATAATGTTTATCTTTCGACCCAATATATGCATCACTTTGTTTTAATGAAATGCCAAAATTTGACAAACTTTAATAGGAAGTGAATATTTTTTTAAAAATAGACCAGTAAAGGCTGTAAAACCAAGAGTAACTTCACATTATTAAAAAATTAGACTAATTAAAGTAAGTTTAACTTATTATTATTAAAAGAAATTGGCCTACATAAAATATGTCTTAATTGTATGAAAAAGAAATATATATATATATATATATATATATATATATATATATATATATATATATATATATATATATATATATATATCTGTGTGTGTGTGTGAATGTATATACATGTATGTGTACACACACACACGAAGGACAAAGTGAATTGAAGGACCAAATGTCTAACGTTTACTCGACTTGAATGACTATTTATGAAATTTCTT